CCATTTCTGTATATGGGAATGCTAATAAAGTGTTATGTTATGTAATCCAAAACAACTTTGAATATAAAGAGTGCACTCTCCAAATGCTTTGATTTACCTGATAAAATCTAAATCAAGATGTTTAAGGCAAGTTCAAGTTCAAGTTCAAGTTTATTATAAGAAAAATTGAGAGAATACAAAATATGATGTACCACTGCTCGCAGTTAGCTATAGATAGTATTCGAGGCGAGCAGTGGCTTGACACTAAGTAGAATAATTACAATAACAATACAATTAAAATACTAAGTAGAATTAATTATTATCGTACAATACATTAAAATAAGCTGAATACTAAATACAAAGTGAATAATTACAATTGCAATACAATTACAATACAATTACAATACTAAATAGAATTAATTATTATCGCTTAACTAAACGCGCGTTCCTTTGAATTTATGAGGGCCGCCACGCTTTGAGATCATAAGATTAAATATGAACAAGTTAATGGCGAAAAAAAAAACGAGGAAACACCGAAAAGTTTAAGCTCCTCGGCCTCCAAGCTCAGAGTGATCTCAAGTTACCAATGCCACTTCCTCTATGGTTGTAGAATGTGTTTGTTGATTTATTTTCATTATGTTGCATTGTCTAAACTTAGCCAGTCATCAGCTTTGCATTGTTTCACTTTTCCCGCTGTTAAGTTGTTCTTTTCGGTCTCTTTTTTTAATACATGCGCTGATGGCCAGGAGGGTGTTGTGTGACAGCCTGCTGCGATTTCATTAAGAAGATTATCGTGGACGTTGACATTTCGCCGATCGCGTCAAACAAATTCAGTCTCACCAAATGTGCTATCAGGGGCACCCAACGGCAATTTTCGGAAAAATATCTGTTCGGAAGACGATTTGAGATCTAGAATTTTCGGAACATTTGTTGTAAAATTTCTTGCTTGCCTGCCTCTCCTAGGATTTTCGAACATCTAAAAAATGGTATAATTGCCTATTTTTAACGGATTTGTACCCTAAAAAGGTCACCTAGAATTTTCGGGAGCCTTTTTTCTGGCTGAAATCTTCGAAAAGTTAAGTTTTGATCCCTATAATTTTCGGATCACTAGACTTTCAGCTAAGAAATCCGAACAGACGAAAAATTTTTAGGGGATTAAAATATGCCTATATCTACCGTTTAAATACTAAAATACGTTTAACAATTCTATGTTTAAGTAGTTTTGAACTATATTTTCGTTGGGTGCCCCTGTGCTATGGCATGATCATGTTTTATCCCAACGAAGATCTCTTTTCATAAGTTATGCGTATATATGCACGTGGTGAATAAGACGAAATTTCAATCAAACAGTTGTCTGGACGCTATGGAAGTCGCAGGGTCCAGAGGAGATGTGTTTGTCGTTAGAACATCAAAACCCGTCGAAAACCTCTGAAAAAATGGGTTATTTTGATCGCGTTACGGTTTCGTTACACATTCTATAGACCGCAAACCAAGAGACTGAGGGCTCGCAAGATCGGCTTACAGTCCTTTCTTTTACTCGGCACCTCGTGCCTCGGTCGCCCTCCGGGCGACGGCCTTCGGTCACCCTTCGGGCGACGTGCCGTGGGCCAGCAAGGATATGGCTTGCGGTTATTGATTTTCAAAAGTCGATCTGGGTCAGATAAGAAGCGAAGAAATCGTTTACAGTAGATTTATAAAGATCCCATTGGGCTAATTAATCGTGCTAAGCGACAGGTATAGACATTTTTCAAGGTAAGTTATTCATTTATTCAGACGAAACTCCTCTGGACCCTGTGGGGACCCTGCAAGGGATAATCAAGGGAGGAAGAGCGCTGCGTGACGTCACAAAAGGCGTCTGCATAGGAGCCGAAGAGAATCAGAATCGAGGATATTGTGGGAATCGAAAGCGATCAACTGGTTGAAAATTTAACAGGAGTATCACCTCTAAAACTTAGGGAGAGACTGAAGAAAACAGAGACAAAAACGATGATTTCAACAGCCATGATGACTGCTTTAGCGGTTGTTCAATTTTTCAAGTTCTACATGGTAGTTAAGAGCCATCGGGCTGCATTTGAAGTCACTGCAGATTCAGAACAATTCACCGCAATCAAGAAAGACCTGAAGAAGATGCAACTGTTGGTTCGAGAGGGTTTGGATCTGTGTAAGATTCAGTGGGGAAAAAACAAGAATGAAAGAAGTGGGCCACAGACAATGGCGAAAATGTCAGCAATTATCAAGTTGTACAGTTCGACCCTGGGAAAGCTCAGCAACCTGAGAGCAAAAGTTAGTGGCTACATGCATAGCCTCGATCTTCAAGCAGATCTCTCAATAGCGGATTTTGTTCTTAACCTCGTCAGCGCCATGTCTCAATTATATCAAATCTGGTATACACTTGCTTGGTCAGTTCTAACTTTCTTGGACATTATTGCGGTTGCAGCTTTCATGTTTCTTGCGTTCCTCAACATCGAAGTCTATAAGGAAGTCGCAAAAAGGTTGAACGAGATAGGGGAAAACACCAACGAGGTAACCCGTCTGCAAGATGAGCTACAAGATCTTTTTGAGCAGGCTGAAAGGGCTTACGAAAAACTGAGTGAATGAATGATGACAAGAGCTCTCTTGATGCGAGACACGTCATAATAACACACATATTACCACGTCATTTTTCTCATGCAATAGTCAATGGACGCCCGACACAAAGGGACACAAAGGAGGTTAATAGGGGTATTAGGCACTTTAGGATAGTTTTTTTTGGATATTTTAAAGCAACTGATAAAATTAACTTGTTTCGGATGCTAGGGATTTAATCTCAGTTTTTACTCTAGGGTTAAGGAATGTTCTGTCATTTGCTTATCCCCCTGTCCGTCCCAGGTCTGAGGCAGTGGGGGTAGGAAGTGGGAGTTCCCACTAACCAGTGCATGAAACCATGCTGTACATCTTCCAGGCCTTATTTGGTTGATTTTGCAATGCACGATCCTTGTTAAGGTCAATGGTGCATTTACTGATATTAACACTGGTTTTGATGTAGATGGTCTTTCTCAGTTGCCTGTATACTGGGGTAGAATTTTCTCACATTGCATAATCCCCAAATTTCTGATAATTTTTAAACTCTTTGTACCTGCACAAATTTCTTGAAAAATACTGCATAGTGATCCCTTTTGCCTTGTAGATTGTATCTTTTTTTTCTGCCTTTGTAGAGATGTCTCCTATTTTCCTTGCTTTGTCCTTGAAAACAACCTCCAAGGGCTCATACTTTTTTCTTTTAACCTTCATAATCCTGGAGGGGGGGTATACTTAACATATTTTACAATGGAGGACTCTACCCCATGGTCCAGCCCCTTACCCCTTAAATAATGTACCATTTTTGACAGAAAAGGTGCGTACCCCTTTCATGTAATTTCATTGACAAATGGCATCCCTTTCACATATCTAGTTTAGAACTTTGCATCCGTTTTTTTTCAGTGGCATAAAAGGCATCCCAACTGGCCGCAAGCAAACAAGTTGGTTATTTACAAGCGTGGCGGGGGATTTTAACTCGGGACCACAGTGAACAAATTCAGCCAGCAGGTGGGGCGGGAGTTGAACTCGGGGCCTCCGAAATTGCAAGTCCAGCGCTCTAACCGCTCGGCTGCACTGTCTCCTCCCTTTGCTCTGAAAGCATCTGAACATGCTCATTTTGAATATCCTTATTTCTCAGCCTATTTAAAGCTATAATTTTTAATAATAATAATCATTCAATGCAAATTATTCTTCCTTTTTATTGGCTGATAGCCCACCATGATTGTGACCTGTGAATAACTGCCTTCAAATAATGGTTTGCTCATGCACAATGTTGTCCAACTTTGTTTGGCTGCAAATAATTTTCTGCTTATGCATAAATGAAACCACGCCTTTCTCCTTCTTGCGATAAATGGAGGGATGCTTTGCCTCCTTTGCCTCCCGAATATACTCATTAATAAACAAACTTGGTGATCAAATAATAAAACAATAAATTACTGAACTCAGCTATCACAAAATACTGGATTTGTTAGTGCCTTCAGCTTCGCCACTGACAAATCACAATATTTTACTCAACCTCGTCCAAGATATGTTAATTCTTGGCCATATTGTTACATGTAGTTTACAGAGTATTGTGTTGTATTTCAGCTAAATTTTAACAAATGAAATAGAACTGTATGCGGTCTTTTGTGCTGGATTTTGAAACTGCATTACTGTTTATGATACTAGTTTACTAGATTTTATTGTTTTGTTTACCAGTTTTGTTAGAAAAAGGAAAAGTTTACCTTTTAATGGTAAAACAAAGTTTTTATTAAAGACATTATTATCACGTGATTTTATTGTTTGTTCATGACATACAGTAAGTCCCCCAACTTCTAAAAAGGCTTCGGCTTCCCATTACTATTAATTGAACATTTGTGACAAATTATTGAGAGTTGCGTCAAACATCTTTAATATATTGTAAATTTATCATGTAATGTAAATGTATTTTATGTGGTAAGTTGCAAAATAAATGAATAAATGAATTTTTTATTTTTCCTTAACCCATGTCCAAATGATTTTCTTAACAAAATCTCAGCCTTGTTTATATTATTAGCACACTATATTCTTCATTTCAATTTGTCTTGTCCTCAATATTCTTACAGTGTATAGTGAAGAATCTCATATAAATGTTTGTAGATTAGGGTTGCATAATATTGTTGTTCACAAACTTGTTGAAATGGTAAAAATAAGAATTTCAAAAAGGGAGACGTGTCAGGATCCTTCCCTTGCATCCCCCATTGTGCAGATGTGAGAATAAGTCCATCTGTGGGTTTTCCAGGAAGTGTACCCTTTTTAACATGATAGGTATATAATTATGTACTATACCCATTTAAATGACCCTGAGCGACTAATACCACACCTGTTATAGTTTTTGTCACTCAGGGGTGTTATGCAGGTAAACAAATCAAAGAAATTGCAACTGGGCTGATATCAGTCTCACCATGTAAGAGCAATAGAAAGCTACAGACTGAATATCATCACTGCTATAAGCTTGATAAGAAATCCTGCAGTCGAGGGCCCGTCTCAGTTGGCTTTGAGTTTTGTTGTTCCTTTGCAAGCAAAATTTCCTTTAGCCTGTTGGCCTTTCGTTTTAGTTTCCTTCTTTTCAGTCGTGATAAAAATACACCAGGAGTAGAAACATCATCCATGCTGTTGCTCTGTGTTGTGCCTAACATTTGCATGAATTCTTTATTGTACACAGAGATGTTCTGTGGTTGGTTCACACTGTTACTCCATGCTGTACCAAACTTTTGCATTAATTTGCCATAATCCACAGTGTTGTTCTGTGGATAGCCAACATTGCTGCTCTGTTGATGGTTCATACTGTTGCTCTGGGTTGAACCTACAGATTGTGTTAATTCATCATGGCTCACAGTGTTGCCCAGTGGATGGTGCACAATGTTCTGCAGATGGTTGCCCTGTGTTGTACCTAAACTTTGTGTAAATTCAACATGGCCCACTGTGTTGTTCTGTGGATGGTTCACACTGTTAATCTGTGCATTCGGTGCACTCAACACTGATAAGTCCTCGTTGAGTGGATTAGACATTCCATCTGATTGTTGCTCTCTGACTTGCAATCTGCCCTGTAAGATTTTAGCTCTGTTTCTTAGCCTCCTTCTTTTCTTTCGTGTTAAGTTACTTAAGTCAACAGTGGCTTCCTGTGGTGTATCCGACATCGTTGCATGTGAGCTCTCACCAAGTGAATAATCAACAGTGGCTTCCTGTGGTGTATCCAACATCGTTGCATGTAAGCTCTCACCAAGTGAATAATTACATATTTCACCTGACTGTTGTTCTTGTAGTTCCAGCCTCCCCTTTAACCTTTTAGCCTTCTGTCTTTGCTTCTTTAGTTTCTTTCTTTCTGCTGCACTTGGCATAGAATTAAGATCCACACTGTTCCACGTTATTTGTGGTGTAGTTGACAATCCACGTGGACCTGTGCTCTCACCTAGTGAATAATTACATATTTCACCTGACTGTTGTTCTTCTAGTTCCAGCCTCCCCTTTAACCTTTTAGCCTTCTGTCTTTGCTTCTTTAGTTTTTTTCTTTCTGCTGCACTAGGCATAGAATTAAGATCCACACCGTTCCATGTTATTTGTGGTGTAGTTGACAATCCACGTGAACCTGTGTTTGATCTTACGCCTGTGTGAAAGTAATGTTTGCCACAAGTTTTGCAAAACACAGTTGTACGATTCAGCTTTCGAGAAACTTTGGATGCTTTGCTTTTCTTGTGGCTACCTTCCTTCTTGTCATTTGTCTTGTTTTCCTGTATTTGTTTTTTCTTATTTCGGCGTTTTGGCAGCGTTCTCACAGTACAATTTTCAGCTGTGAACAACTGCAAACAATGTTTGCAATATTTCATCGCAAATGACCGAGATGAGTCCCCCCTAGACAATGAACTAATCTCGCTCAAGTAAAACTTTGTTAAGCTTGGATTCTCTTCTGCGCAATGAGTAGCTAACCGCCATAAATGACCAACCTGCTGCTGCGAAAACGTATCCCACGCCATGTTGAATTTTCCAGCTCGTGTGGGGTACTCGGTCATGTAAGCTTCACAAACTGTTCCTGTCTCTTCTTCCGAAGTAAACGGAAAGTCCCCGAAATTACCTCGGCACAGATCGCCGAGATACCGAAGAATTCCGAACTTGACCGCTGACCTGAGAGTATGCGCACTAGCGTGTGTTTCAAATATTCGTACGCAAACGCGGGAAGTGGAAAATGGCGGCGAACCTCAGCAAAGTGGCTGTAATGGGTTCGTGTATCAACGGTCACGTAGTGCAAAACGATAGCGCTATGTCGGAGCCAATAACGGGGCAAGAAAAAGTTGCTATTCTAGATGCTGGGGCGCAATATGGAAAGGTAAGATCTCCGTTACTTTGCTCAAGGAACGACCAATAACTTTGCTTATCTTGAAATGCATGGTTGTGTTGTCGTGTCAATTTCAGTTACTTTTTAAATATCTTTCAGATTCCTTTTCGGTCGGCACCGCTAATCACGATAACATCGATCGATTGGTTTTGTTTGGACACAACACTAAGAAAGAAAATCATCCAGTTTTATTTTTTTCATGATGTTGAGCCAAGTTAATCTTCAAGCGATAACAGACGAGTCACAGTCATCCTTGTCTGCAAGAAAAAAATATTAAGCTTATACTCCAATAGTATTACATGTCTTACATGTACGTCAGCTTTTTTAAGCATAATTCATTCATTTCGTCAAAGAAAACAGCTGGTTGTTCGCTATGAGTGGTATCTTATTTTCTCATTTAAATAATTCCTTGTGGCCGGCTGCTCCCAAGATCGAATCAGGTAATGTTAGCTGGTATCTGATCCGATCTTGATCATGTACCCTACTGACGCCAAGTTTAATTTTTGGTAAAAAAAAAAAAAAAAAAACATATATTTTACCTCAAACACAAATCTTCCAACGTACTGCAGGAGATAAGCTGCAAAACTAGAACTACAACAAAACATTTTACTGTATAGATGTTTTTTGGTTCAATTTCATTCTTTCTTTTCTTTTTTCGAGCTAATTTGCCACATAACTAGAAATACGTACCTCGTAATTACCCTCACAAAACTCGGTTTGGTAACGGCACTCAAGTTAAGCCCTGTCGGTCGGGGTTAAGAACTGGATGGGTGACCCAGCGCGAATATCGTCTTAAAGGTCCATACGTTGTTGCCATACCCAGAAACAAATATTTAAAAAAATCAAATTTAAACCAAACGTAAGCTAAACTTAAACTACACCTCACATGTACCTTTTTTGTTAAATCATTTCTGCAAGATTCACATTATAGGTATGAATTAAAATTTCAGTTTATTAAAATTAATGTTCTGTCATTAGGTCATAGATCGTAGAGTGAGAGAACTGTGTGTGGAAACAGAAATTCTTCCCCTGGACACACCTATATATACCATACAAGAGAAAGGTTTTAGGTAAGAAGAAAACTTTGCAGGATGTTACGTGTACAGCTCTTAACTTTAAGGAGGCTGCTTGGCCGAGTGGTCGATGCATCAGACTCGCAATCCAGTGGTCCCTGGTTCGAGTCCCACTGTGGTCACTTACTGAATTTGTTCACAGCTGTCCTGAGTTGAAATCCTTGGCCACGCTTGTAAATAGCCGACTGGTTGGCTCCTTCCAGCTGGGATTCTGAACCATATTATGTTCATTTCAATTTGTTTGTTTTGTTATCCTGAAAAGCGCCATAAGGGGAGAGGATACATTTTTTAAAAAGTATTTATCATTGTAACTATAATTATTATTATTATTTGTCTTATATTAGGCAGTAGTGTGCTTTGGCAATTTATTGTTCTCATGGCAATGAATCAGGATTCAAAAGTCCTTGTGGCCAAAGTCAAACTTCCACAAAAATTCCAAATGCCATTGTTTAAGATGTGGAAAAACAAGTAGTATAATGTAACAGTAGTGCCATAGGTTTTATTTTATAGTCAAGCCAGGTGAAGCGTAAGCTCATTCTCCAGGGTGTCTATGCGCCCGCGGTACTCCCCACCTGACTGGTCACATCAAGACACCCAAGGCTGGAGACTGAACCTTCCCTGTAGGTGAAGCGTAGCCCCTGAGATTCTATTTTATGAATTTATTATTTGAAAGTTGAATGACTACTGCTCAGGTTGTTCAAACGTCAGTCACCGTCAACAACAGTCCTATTCAGGACTACACTCACAGGAACGATCATGCTTCACCTACATGTACTTATGAAATGACTCCTGGGTTCAAACCTTTCACAAAGTTGAATCCATCAGCAGTTGTAGATTTCAGATTCAGTGCATCTCGGCATTCCTGCGTGCATAATGGGCAGTGAAGTCACACCGGTGGTAGTTTGTCAGTTTTCTTGACTTTGATAAAAAGTTTTTCAAAGCAATTTTATCCATTCAAGGATTCTTCATTCTTACTCAATACTGAGAAGTTGTAGCCAAAAATTCACTGCTCATTATGTATGCAGTAATGCAGATTTAAATTTGATACTGGTTTTAGCAATGACCAATGGATTCATTTGTCATATAATTGATTCATTATGGAATCTAGTGGAGTACATTTGACCTTGCTTGTCTGTAATTGCAGGGTGCAAAGAAAGTCAGTTTACAGCTTGCTATTCGGGCAAGCTGTAGCTAGCATGTACTAGCCCGAAAGTCATTTCAACTAGCCTCAAAAAAATTTGATGAGTAGGATTGACTACAGTTCTTCTGGAATTTGAATTTCCCCCAAAAAAATTCACCTGCCCATCGTGTAAGTTAAGAACAGAATTCACTAGCCCGACAGCAAAATCCACTAGCTCCAGGCTATCGGACACCACTTTCTTTGCACGCTGAATTGTTACACTGTAGGACTTTATCAGTAGACTCTAAAATGATAGAACCATCATAAAAGACTCTGACCTAGTGTTCTCTCTGGCTGTGCCTGTTTTCTCACCATAGGGCTATAATAATATCTGGAGGACCCAACAGTGTTTATGCCGAAGATGCACCCAAGTATGATCCAGCTATTTTTACCATTGGACTGCCAGTCCTAGGCATATGCTATGGAATGCAAGTATGGCTAGATGGATATAAGTAATTTGTTGAAATGTAGAAGTAGTTAAAACCCAGGTTAATCAAACTCTCTATGGGAAAAATTACTTTGATTTACTTTGGCATTTGAGTTAACAAGGTTCTACTAGTATTCTACGGCAAATATCAGCACTTTCACATGCTTTTTAGCAGTTAGGTAATGGTATACATTGTACATGTTGTTCATAGGATTTTTCTTTGATAAATGAGGCGGGAGATGTGATGAGGAAGAGACAAAAAAAATTGGGTCGTGTAGAAATAATTTTTTTACCAGCAAACAAAGCTATTAGCTTACCCTTATGTTACTTCTGATCTGTAGACTATTGTCTATAGGGGTAACAAAACATGTAAATAAAGTCATCATCATCATTGTTATTGTGTTTTTGTCTTGTAACTTAAGATGCTAAACAAAGAGTTTGGAGGAAGTGTGATGAAAAAAGACATCAGGGAGGATGGAGTATTCAAGATAAATGTGGAAACATCCTCACTAATTTTCAGGTACGGGATGGTATACATAGTTGAGTACTTCGTAACTCAATGTTAACGCAATAAAGCAATTCAAAGGCCTTTCTCAGCTCATGTATTTTGTTCATTTAAATCAGTGAGAGATCTGGAGAGATCTCATTACCATTAGAGACTTTGGAGTAGATCTTCACATATACTATACCTTCCAGTTTTAGTTTCAAAAAAAAAAATGCACAGAAAACAGTATACTGTTCAATAGTCGTTACATGTACATGTATATTTGTTGATGTTGAGGTTTTTGGGAATAATACAACTGTATAACCAATAGAGAATTTTTTGAGAAGTGACCGATTTTCATTTCATCTGCATAATTATATAGAACAAACAGTGTATTTATTATTTCTTTCTTTACAAATAGAGGTTTGCAGCCTGAGCAAGAAGTATTATTGACTCATGGAGATTCTATTGATCGAGTTGCTAGCAGCTTTAAAGTCATTGCCAAGTCTGGTGATATTATTGCTGGTATGTATGTTGTAGTTAATTTTTTATCTCTGGTAATTATTTGTTTTTGTTTTGTTTTTTGGTATGGTAATGAATGCTAATGAAGTTGAAACAAAAGAAAAATAAAAATTACCTGAGATAAAAAATGAACTGCAACAAGTATATTATTACACATTTTACAATAACATATTATAATACATGGTAGATGGTCAAATCAATCTTTTGTGCTGACACATGTTTGTTCTCTAAGTATTAGTAGTATTATTGTTATTATTATCATCATTATCATTATTACAGTATTATTATTATTATTCCAAGTTTGGCTTTGTGATGCAGACACCAGAACATTATTTTGGCACTGTCAGGGATTTGGTCTCAGGTTAACTATATTAACTGAATTTTTTGAGTGCTTTTTAAGGACTAGTACAGTGGAACCTCGATTTATTAATAAAGGGCCAAGGGACTGGCAAAATTTGTTCGCTATAACGAGGTTTCATTTAATCAAGGTTCTTTTTCATATATTTTACTGTTACTGAGGAAAAGAAAATCGTTTGAGGAAAAGAAATTCATCCCATCCTAAAAGTTCATCACCTACATGTCCATATACATTTACTGTCATCATCATCCAGGGTTGTGACTAAAATTTTAAGTTGCCGCGTAAATACAACAAGGAAGTGGGGAATCAAACAGTTAGGAATTTCTTTTAGTTCTATTTTTCCTCTATTTTCCAATAAAAGTAGCCGGGCACCACACTCATAGTATCCGGGGGAAATCCCCAGCCCCTGGCTCTTAATGACAGCCCTGATCATCACAGTAGACAATCACAACTCCATAGGCAAACCAAAGTGACACAATAGGGCTGCACGGACCCAACTATAATTGTACATTGTATCTGTTTTTGTGGAAGTGTCATTAGTTTAGAAGTTTGATTTTCCTGGGACCAACAGAAACATCCATAACAAAGAGATGTCTTTAAGGAGAAGTTCAACTCTATACGTACAACATGTGTTAACTCTTTGTAGGCATTGAGGATGAATCACGCAAGTTGTACGGAGTACAGTTTCATCCAGAAGTTGATCTTACAGAGAATGGCATAACAATGATCAAAAATTTTGTTTATGGGGTGAGTATACATTAACGTCACCTTTTATTTTGAAATTTTTTTATACCATTGTGGGCTGAAGATGGGTCCGTAGGAAAAGAATGACTGTTGTAAAGTTGATGTGATAAACAATTATCAAAATAATTAATATGTGTTTTATCTGTGAATTTGCCAGTTCTGATGTACATGTATCTTAGTTTTTACTCATCCAAGTACCACTGGCTGAGGAAGAGCATCGTCTATGTCACTCTTAAAAGATATCAGCTACTTTTTTTCTTTTAAGTTGAAGTACACGTAATGTACAGTTTATGAAGAATTATCTCAGACCTTGTTGTTAAAGGCAGCTACCAGCTACTTTTTTTAAAGCTTTGCTCATGTCAATACTTGACATGCAGACCTTGGTATCATTTCACCAGTTTAAATTAATAGTCACACTTCACTGTGGCTTTGCCTGAGGCAAATAGCTGCACAAAACTGAATCATTTCAACGTAAAGAGAAGTATTACTTGATAAAAGACACTAATTCCATGTTTATAGAACGGCATTGACTATCAGTATTACAGAATAGCCAATCTGGTGCTTGTGTTGATAAAAGTAATAATAATAATGCCCTTTTACATCAAGAGTGCTTAACACTTTAAGTGCCAGTAGTGACAAAGATCAATTTTCTCCTAACAATATCCATACATTGTCAACAGATAAGTTATGAGAATTAATAAAATGATCACCCAAGCAAACATGCTTTGATCTTTTATCAAATTCTCTCAACTCATTCTTTAAGGAAATGTATGGAGATCAGTTTGGAGAGTTTGTATGTGGATACTGGGGCTTAAAGGGTTAAAACCTGGCATGCCAGACTTGCTTTTATACAAGTACAATGAGAAAAGTTGCTTTTTCTTTTTTTTTCTTTTTATTTTTTTATCAGGTTGTGGGTTGTTGTGGGACATATACGGTAGATTCCAGAATGGACACGTGTATCAGACAAATTAGAAAGACTGTTGGCAATATGAAAGTTTTAGTAAGTACTTTTTGTCACAAACTTTGCTTAATTGTGTACAAAATAGAAGAACACACTCCTAACAGACTAGTGAAGTTTGTATGGGACAATGTTGACTGAACAGATCTTAGCCTTGTGTCCTGCATCCTTGCATATTTTGTAGAAGAAATACATGTACCATCATCAGCAACTTGCCAGAGGAGAGAGGGCCTGGGATCTACTGAAAATCAGGCTAATGTGCATCTTGGGTTATTACACTTCTCAAACTCATTAATAATTTATAAAAAATACAAAGGAAATTAATGTTTAATGAGTGTTTGGAAATCACATGAAAAACTGCTGATTTTTGCATCCTTAATTTCCCCTTCTTAAATCGTTTTGTTTGAGAAGTAATATCAAGCATTTGACACAGTGTTTCATCAACAGATGAAACACTTCATCAGTGTTTCATCTGGCAGTGAAACACTGCATCTCATGCTTGATATATTACAACAAGAATGTGCTCTAAGAACTGCACATGCAGGAAACCCAATGCTCTAAACCTGAGAAATCAAGAGAGCTGCTAGCCTTTGCCATAGATGAAATTTAGTCTGTCTTTCAGCCAGCCAAATCCTTCTTCTGGGCCCCCTGCTGTGTATGAGAATTTGGGTACCGTAAATTATCGATTAAGTGCCGTGGCGCTTATTTCAACTATGGGTAAAACACTGAGGGGAATATAGAGAGAATTAAGTGAGGCGCGAACTTGGTATGCACAATATAGTACAAAATATGTAAACCTTAAACTGTTTCAAGAGTTACCCTACATTAAAATGTTTGAACTCACGAGTTGGTCGAGGTCTTATTTCTCAAGCGATGTCAAGCACCGTATCGAAGGTGGGACGTTAATTTGTAAATATTCAAATTAGTGCCGCGGCACTTATTCAAGAGTGGCGCTTATTAAATTAATCTCATGAAAGGTGCGGCACGTATTCGATCATTTACAGTATGCACCGTGATCTTATTGAGGGTGCTGAGCTATTGTTTGAGATTTTTGTAATTCTTAAGCTTTCCTACATGTACAGTGTAGTCTCCCAAAGGGAAAAGAAAGCCACCTGGAGTGTCTAGAGCTGCTTCAGAAAAGTCCTGTACATGTACATGTATCAATCATTATTAATTCTGAAGGGTATTGCAGGATCTACCGTATAATATTATTGTGCTGATATAGGAAAGCTGTATTGTTCAAATTTATCCAGGACTGAAAACTTGATAATCGTGGCTGGTTTTATTTCAGGCGCTATTAAGTGGAGGAGTGGATTCAACAGTCCTTGCCGCTCTTCTTCATAAGGTACTTTCGTGAAATAATAGGTTGCATTTCTGTTTCATTAATGTCACCCAACCGCCGATAGCTACAACACTTTACATTGTATATGTATATTTGAAACATTCTGGTTTTGAACAAAAAGAAAAAGTTACTTAATGTACTTAATGTACAAATCTTAACTGCTAAGTCATGGTTTTAATTAATGGGAGCCCATGAGCTTTCTAGGTTTACATTGTACTTAGAAGTTTAAGGGCACTTACCAAAAGTCAGAACTGGGCGTCCAGACTGTTCATCTTTAAAAGAACAAAGAAGTATGCTCTTTTCGAGAGTTTTCACCAGAAAACCAACAATGCTGTGCACAGAAATTTAGATGAGAGTAATCTGGCTGGACGGATCTGATTAACGGTGGAATTTTCTTTAGCGATAGACTAGTTGGCGGGGCAATTCTGACTAAATGAAAGCAGCCTTAGACTGAAGCATTTTGAACTCACTTGTAAATCTCTATGTCTTCTTTTATTTTGTTGTTTCCAGGCCCTAGCGCGTGACCAAGTTGTTGCAGTGCATGTAGATAATGGTTTCATGAGAAAAAATGAAAGTCGCCAAGTAGAGGAATCACTGAAACGACTTGGAGTTAAATTAAAGGGTAACAGCAATTAATACACTCTATCTTTTTTGCGTATTTCAAGAGTCCTTATAAAATCCTTAAACCTCGCGATGAACAACAGTGTCTATCGAGAAACGAGTCATAAACAAACTTTATCAAAATCCCAAGAGTTAATCCTCTAATAAGAATTTGACCAACAATGTCATGTATTGAATTTCATTTTGTAAAATACTGTAAGACGAATAGTGCCATGTGAAAGTAAGACTGTAGACGTTTTTCGTTGATCTTCAATATGTTATCTTGTTTTGTTTTACATTTGCATGAATCGGTCAAGAACTTATCTCGCATCCGCTAGTTCGAGAACCTCGGTCGTTCTCTTTTCTTTGGGCAGTTCTACATGTAAATGTTATGCTACATTGTATAGTCTTACAACAGCTCCATACGTCACGAACAACATTTTACCTTTGCTCGTCAATAACACAAAGTTATCGTAAAGTCATAAAATATGTGGTAAACATGAGTTCTTGTTTTATGATAATCACATTGTCTCTGTGTTACTCTTCTCCAGTTGTAAATGCTGCCCTTCGGTTTTACAACAGTTCCACAGTGATATCTGGTAGAAAAGATCAACCGGCCGTCAAAAAGCAAATCACGAAAACTTTAAACGTTACAACCAATCCTGAAGAAAAAAGAAAGATCATAGGAGATACTTTTATTAAGGTACGAACTTGTTGTTTTCTGCCCAATGTTTGAGTTTAAGTACGAATGTAAAGGTGCGCTCGCTCTGCGGGCGCTCATATGTGGACAAAAAATACCCCCGAAATTGCGCCCCCTTTGAAGTGGAGTTCGATCTGGAACAAGCCATCTTGAATGCTTGAACCTTCAACATCCCACGTTTTAAAAACAGGGAGATTGGTTTCTGCTGTTTTTCTTTATTTCTTGCCTAGTAAGAAGTTGTAAATACTATTTTCTTGGTATGGCGGTGAAGGTATTTTGGTCAGTTACCGGTTGTAGACCCGGCGGAAGTGCAACCAGGGGCGCTTTCCATTTAGGCAAAACTTCCGGTTGGAAATTCCGGAAACATTCCGGGTTAGAAGGAAAGGCTTTCCAACCATAGAGCCTCGTTTGCAATCTCATTGCTCGTGTGAATCAAAAATCTAAAAGCGAAAGTAATTTTCAATGACTGTGGCAATAGCAGCAGTTTGTTGCTGTTTTGTTAGAAGAAATTACAACAGATTTCAAAGGACTATTTTCGGCGGATTCCATTTTGAACGATAAGATAAGAGTGAAAAGAAAAACTGCAACTGCCCGTGAACAACGCTCACCGGCAAACATTGGAAATGGCGGGAAAAATTCAGGGCGCCAGCCGCCGGCCGACACAGAATTGCGCAAATGGAAGTGGAATACCTCGGAAGGTCGTTCGGTTGTTCCGAAGAATTCCCGGTCGAACTGCACGTTCAATTTGCATTTAAACCGGTCGATCCGGTAATTTTGCCTAAATACAAAGCGCTTCAGACTGGTATTACCACGTTATGCCGTGGAAGAAGTGAAACTTAACAATTATAGATTTGAATTTGCTGTACGGGTGCGTGTGTTCTTTCAGGTTATGTTACACAAATCAAAGAGACAATTTTTAACTGTACAATCTTTTGACTGCAGATCGCTGATGAAGTTATCAGTGAGCTTAATCTCACAGAACACAACACTTTCCTGGCACAAGGTATTTCCTTAATCATTATTTCATTTCCAGTACTAGGTGTTAGTACAATGTATCTTCAACCATCTTGACCATACAGGACATCTGCGAACTCCCTTCATACAACTTCATTATTTTCTCCACTAGTAAGGGAGGACAGGCGGGGATGGTAACCCGGGAGAAAGGGGGGAGGGGTAAGGAGGCGAGAGAAAAAAGGGTAGTCTAAATAATAGAAAGATTAAAGGGAAGAAGCCAAGGAAACAAGAGGTGGGAGCCGGTTATGCAATGTACGGGAGGCTGGGGGAGGGGTTGGACCTCCTGTCCCCACGCCCCGCTCTTACAAAACGATGCCAAAACGAGTGTTTAGCCTCATGAATTCTTTAACCTGCAAGATGGAAACTCTTGGAAGAGGGGAGGGAATCCTACAGGCTATTTATGCTTTTGTTGTTGTGTTTTATGCCGTTATAGGTACCCTTCGACCAGATCTCATTGAAAGTGCGTCATCACTAGCAAGTAGCAAAGCCGACGCTATCAAAACTCACCATAACGACACGGAATTAGTTAGAAATTTACGAGCAAAGGTGAGCGCACAAAAATCTTCGAGATATTCCTTCGCAAAGTCGCGAGATTATTACAGACCCCAGACGTTTGCAAGAGACTAATCGGCTCGTGACTTTTTGTTCATGTACATGTATGGTAGGTACGTTGCAGTCTCCCAGGCAGCCGTTTTTTGGATGTCACGCATCACTCCCCCTTTTTTGGGAGGAGCGTTGCGTGACATCCAAAAACCGCTGCGAGGGAGACTATATGGTAGGGGAGCTCTCCACGATACAAACGTCTGAAAAATATAACGCACTTTATTTGAGTGTCAACGTGTTTAGTACGAAAGTTCTAGAGGCGCCCACTATTTTTGGGACCGCAATTTTACTTGATTATCAGAGCCAGGCGAATGTCTGCCATTTGCATGACCAAGGCAGTACTTCTTAGTTTGTTAGACCCTGAAGGGGAATCGGGAATCGAACTTCCGACCACGCGCTCTGTAGTGAAGTGCTCTACCGACTGAGTATAGGGAACTTAAGCACCAGACGTTCTTGGTACCACGGACGCCAACCGGAAGTATTTTTGCAGCATGACAGTCATTGCGCATGTCAAGACGTTCTTGAGCTGCGGTTACGGACTTCAAAACGCGAGTTCTCAGGTTGAAACCAGAGGTTCCAATTCTGTGTTCTTCGAAGAGTGAAATTCTCCGTCTGAAATTATGTTTTCTTCGTAAGAAAGAAACAAAACTTAACGCAAATCTTTGAAAGGCATTTTCAACTGAATTATTCTGTCGGCGTTCGTGATGGTTTCACGTTGTTTTGCTTAATGATTTGCATTTGGCATGCAAACCGCGTCCCCGATCCAGTTCTGCGCGGGCAGCTATGCCGTTCGTGAATCAAGAACGTCCGGTGCTTAAATTCCCTTATATCCTGCATCGGCGACTTTGTCGAGGTTTTCATCAATCGCTTATTTGATAACCTTGAATGTGGGAGAAAAAATTACGGTGTTTTATTATGTGCAAATTCTGGAAAAGTATTGAATTTTGCGTGCAAAAATCTGTACGAACGTTTTGAATAAAAGCCCCTAGTAAATGAACATTGCACTGCAATAAACTGCAAGTTCAAGCAACGCGGGGTAAACGAGCCAACTTTGAGATAAACGCCTAGGACCTTTAATATTTAGAAGATATAGTACCCGACCGAACTTGAAATACTTGTTTTTATTTCTTTCCAGGGACGAGTTATCGAACCATTAGCAGATTTCCATAAAGATGAAGTCAGAGCTCTGGGGAAAGATCTAGGTCTACCAATAGAGATGATTCAAAGACATCCATTTCCTGGTAAGTTATTGTCTTTGTTTGCTTTGCTTTGTTTTTTGCTGTCGCTATTGTAGCTTTTTCAATTTCTTAGGGTTTTATCCGTTTTTCTTTGACCTTTTATTTTTTATTTCCATGACTAATAACACAAATGTCCGAAATTTAAATGTATTTCTGATCCCTGAAATAGATGACTTGTGCACTGTATAGAATTTACCTTGAAAGACGTAGCGATATTAAATCTGGTCCTTTAAAAGAAAACATTGCGTCAAAAGCAATGCTTGCATCTCACAATGTAGAAGGAATAAAATAGATATCCTTTTAAAATCCACAGACTTCAACAAATCTCTGGGCGCCATCTTGAAAGTTCTTTTTTTATCTCCTTCAGGTCCCGGGTTGGCCATTCGCATCCTTTGCGGTGATGAACCTTACCAAGGCAACGATTATGCTGAAACAAATATTGTTTTGGGGCAGATTGTAGACTTTGTTACTGCCGTTAAAAAGGTATGTGAATGACGCTTTGTACCGGTAGAATAAACAGACGCTTGACGCTCGGTTCATTCAATTGAATGCGAGAGGCTTATTCGGCCTATATATTAAAGTTACTCTGTTAGTAAATGTTATATGCATTTATATGTAATTTAAAAAGTGAAGAAGTTATTCCCTGACTGCACAAACAGCTGTTACGCACTCATGAATTGAATTCATTGACACATCTTATAATGGTAACAAAAATATTCATTAAAAAACAATAGACAAATCATGAACAAAAGTGCCGTGTTAATAACTTCAACCTAAACTTCTATTTTCTAAACTGCTACGCAGCTTAAGGGAAATTCTTTCGTCATTTGTTTATCATACATCTTATAATGGACAATTTTAGCGCGCTCTGGTTCGATCTGTGCGAGACCAACAAGAAAGCATAGAGACGAAAAGCGGTTTTTTCGAATTTCCATACTTGCGTCGTTAATTTCCGTTTTTGTTGGTATATTTTTTAAGTCGGTTGCATAGAAACACGGGTGATACTTTTTTGGATGCTTTATGCTTTGATTGTAATTGGCCGCTCCAGAAAATACCATAACATACCACAATACTCTTTGTTGGACACTCCAAAATTTTGCAATGACAATGACAATGCTTATGCAAAATTTTGGAGTGACCAACAAAGAGTATTATGGTATGCTATGGTATTTTCTGGAGTGGGAAGGGAACTGGAGCCGAAAATGCGTCCCGCAATTGTTTCTGGGATCGTTCCTGGGGACGTGCCGGTCAGCTATTGGTCTCCAGAAACATTCCCAGAAGTCTTTGCAAAGGTTAACTCGACCCAGTCTCTTTCTCGTTTCTAAAGTGGTGAACTCCTATCTTTTGTGCTTAGCCTCATTCACTGTTCAGTCGAGTTAAACTTAGTACTTCAGAGGACGACAGAGAAAATCTATTGGAGATCACATCAAAGTACAGAATCGGCGCCACTCTCCTGCCAATCAAATCTGTGGGGGTCCAAGGAGATGGCAGGACTTACAGCTATGTTGTAGCGTTATCAAGCAATGATTCACCCGACTGGCTTTCGCTGCTGTTCCTTGCTAAACTGATACCTAAAGTTTGCCATAATATTAACAGGTAAATTCTTTCTGTCTTCTAATATTAACAATAACAGTGTATTACATTTAACCGATCAAGGTAACGAGAAGTAAAGAGATGAACCTTTTGCGCATTCCGCCTCAAGGTGGATTTTCGCTGTCGCGTAATTTTTCCATGCGTACGCGCGTAAATAAAATAGAGACATGTATGGAAGGCGACAGAGCTGCGTGAAGATTGGAGCAAGTCAAATTGAGGGATTTTCCCTCGCGGCTCATTTCGCGTGGCGGCTCCGCCGCTAAGAAAGTAGAGACCTTTAGATTCGAGAACGAGAACGACTACGAGTACGAGATTTGATTTAAAGATTCTTCGCGTCTTGTCAAAAAAAAAACACCGCGGAATACTTCATTGTACTGTTTTTCACCTGAAAAGTTAGCACTGTTATCGGTTTTGAAGGAGGTTGAGCCCTCTCCCGATTGCAAAATACTAAAACTTCTAACATTTGATAACCTGTTCCCGCCACTACGACCCTCTTGCTAAAACTCGTAGTAGAATGACGACGGCTACCACGTTTTCCCGGCAAAATGACGCTGGCTCACGCGCGAACACCATTTGCTATTGACAAAATCTCGTACTCGTAGTCGTTCTCGTCTTAGAATCTAAAGGTCTCTAGTACCTCGGACACAAGTAATCCCGCCAGCTACGCAGGCTAGGGTTTTGGGACTTGGCAATGACCTATTGTGTTGAACGCCCGTGCAAACATTCTCTTACTGCGGCGGTGATCGGAAGAAGGTAAATCTAATCAATAATAAATTACAACTTATTTGAGTTTTGTCACTTTTCTTTCAGAGTCTGTTATACTTTCGGGAAAAGGATCAAGTTCCAGATTCAGGAAATTACTCCCACATTCTTGTCAACAGGCGTGATTGGTACAGCGAGGCAAGCAGATCACGTGGCCCACTCTGTACTTCGGAACCACGGTGTGTAAACTTTACAAACTCAATTTGAAGAACTTAACAGCGGCGTGGCACCCAAATGAAGCATGTGGTAAAGCATTTAAGCCACATGGCACTTCAATTGCTGCATGAACTTAGATCCCTGAGACTGTAGTCTGCGAAGTGATGTGTTCATGCCTGATTCTATTGCCTGCAACACCCATAATGTTGTTTATACTCTTGTACACTACATAGTTTTTACCCTCGTTAAAATAGTCAGTGCGTTTCTGTGGTATTCTGGGGAAGTGCTTCTCTGAGGTAACCAGGGGGTTGTTGGATTTTGTGCCTTTTTCCCAGCCAATCAGGAGAAAACCCCAAACAAATCACGTGACTTGCTCACACGCGTTTTCCCGCCGGACTGTCACTCGCGGCACGCATCATCTTCAAGATACAATTGGTTCATTTGAATGTCTGCTCGTGTCATGATTGATCAGAAACATTGCTAAGGTTTTGCTTTTACGATGCTCATTTGAAAACAGCCCTAATAATTGATCACTGCATTATTCTCGCAGGTTTATTGGCTCAGATCAGCCAGATGCCCATCGTGTTAATACCCGTTCACTTTGACCGTGATCCGATAGACCACATTCCATCGTGTCAGCGGTCTGTGGTGATAAGAACGTTTATAACAAATGATTTCATGACTGGGGTACCCGCCACACCAGGAAAACACATCCCTATAGAGGTAAGCGACTCTGATATCTATGAGGGTTCAAGGTCTGGTATTTTCAATCCGGTGTTTTGTCTCGAATAGTCTCTCTCGCAGCGGTTTTTTGGATGTCACGCAACATTCCTCAAAAGAAGAACGTTGCGTGACATCCAAAACTCGGTGCGAGGTAGACTAAGTCTCGAACCACTGTAGCCTTATCAATTCTGGAATGTTTCTTGGAATTTCTTTTTAAAACGGCAACTTCTTTGGTTTTCACCAAAACGGGCGCCTCGAGTTAGTAACTACCGTTCTTGTCATTTTCTTTAAATCTCTCTACTCATTTCTTAAGGGAGATTACCAATGGGCATAACTTGCTGGTGAGAGCTGTCCAATCGTAAGGAGAATTCCACTTTTAATCAGGACCATCAGTTTATTCCTAAATGATATACACGGATGTGATGGATTTTAGTAACATTTCGAGAAATAATATTTCATTTTCAAGTTAATGGTCAACCTGAGTTATGGCTTGTGGAAAGTGCCTTTAGATGACACTTTATGTCACTTTACGCCCGTTTGTAAAAACGATTTTTACTGTTATTCAGAACTGTCCAGCCATATAGTTTCTGGGAGAGAAATGGAGAGTTAAGAGCTAAGCCAGGAGTTTTCCAATGTTCGAGTTATCCTAACCGAAGGCTTTTTTGTTCTTCTCCTAAGGTTTTGAAGGAAATGGTTGAATCGTTACAAGACATTCAAGGAATCTCGCGTGTTCTGTATGATTTGACCGCCAAACCGCCAGGAACAACAGAATGGGAATAATTTAATTGCATTGAAACGACAGCAACCATATGAAGTGTAGCATGCCTCTCTTCATTAAGCACCGTATTTATTTGGAGCTCTGATTTTAGCCTCGCCAGGGTTTGTGAAGGAACGGCACAGCCGTCCGTGCTAAGTTTGGGCTCCGTCACAACTGCACGCCAACATCCCTAAGAAAGTCCTCTTGAATGAAAAAGCAAATTGTGCCTTTTGAAACAGGTCCCCACTGTTCAAAAGATGAATATAGCGTTATCCACCAGAAAAATCGCTTTATAACAGCGCGCGTGCTTGAACAAAATCGTTATTTACGCACGCCCGTGTGTAAAATTTTTTCATGATGACTAGTTAAGCTGTGTTTTCCGTCTCTTTTCCTACACTGTAACTACTAAGTACCCAAAAATCGACGGCAATGATGAAAAACTTTCTAGATTTTTTTGGAATTTAGCTTCTATCCGCTCAAACCAACAGCAAAAGCGGTAGAGATGTTTCGCAAATATAAATGGAGCCTGGATCGTTAAAAAGTCCGCGGTAAAGACTGACATTCAGCTGGAAAAAGACCACACATTTGTCTGTGTCGGGAAATATCCAATTTGTATAGTATCCTCCGTTTTAACGCTTATTTATCCTTTAAAAAACAAGCTAATTAGAAAGTAAACTCAATAGCGAAAAATTATGCACTTTTGTTATCGCCGAACAATCCGACTGAAGCAAAAAAATTTCTCTTGCAATAACAAGATAAATTACACAAGAAGACATAAATTTATTACTCACAAAAAAAAAACTACTGCCAGGTCTTCTCAAGAAGCCGTAATGACCAGCCATTGTTCGTGAATGAATATAAAGAAGAATGACAGTCGTCTTCGCTAAAAAACAAGTTTTCTGGATTTCGCCAAGCAAAATATCAACAGTCTCACTGACATCTTCTCATCGAATCCAAACCATACTGCTCTACTTCTTACGAACATGTGAGTATTTTAACTTTTGGTGGACTTTAAGACTCTTTTACCTTTGTTTCTGCTTCGTTTCCATTGATCGTTAACGAACAAATAAGCAAATTTTCTTTCTTAGTTTTACAGAAAGAATTTTCTTTCAAACTACGATTGTGCGACTGTTTGTAACTTAACCAGCCAATAGAAGCGTTTGTTTTTCTGTGTCACACGTTACGATAGATATCATTAATTGACTCCGTGCTTTCGACAAAAATGGTAGCGAGAGACCCCTGTGTGTCTCGAAACACTTTCGAAAAAAGAAGTAGGAGTTTCTAACGCGTAATGGTGTGATTTAGTAAGCTTTAACCACTTCTCACTGTTTTAAAGCCAGTAGACATGGATGAATTTTAAGAGTTAAGGTAAAGAATTGCTATTACTAGAGATACTCAATGAATTGTGTACTAAAATCGGTCTGTTAAGTAACAAAAAAAAATACTGTTGCTCTTTTATCCTTGGGCAACTTCCCGACTTTCAGCCTTCCTAGTAAATTTCCAGTAGCTCGCAGCAGCTTCCCGCTCTTGACATTAGCGACTGCGTTGTTTCCCGCCGTGTTTTCCCGCCGCCTGAAACCGGTTGCAAGCGCTCCAGCGGTTAGAGCGCGTTGCCAGGCAAGGGAAATCTTGCAAATGAGCTCTGTACTCCGTATCATTTCTAAATAATACAATTTATCTGTACCTTATTGTTGTTTAATCTGCATTCCTTAATACTTTTTTTGATAGTTTCGTGGCTCTTTACTTGTTCAGTGTTCAGTACTGTGAACGTTACATTTAATTGCAGCACTAGGCAACATACCACTCGAAATAAGTGAATGTTTCAACAGTTAAGGTTATTTTCATTTGAGTATCTTTGGGGGGTGGGTATCCGGAGTTTATAGGCGAGTCCCACTTAGCTAATAAACTTGTAAATAGTTTTTGTAAAAGTTACAAATAAATATCGTGTCTTGTGGTATATGCTCTTTTTACTGACATGAGTAATCTTGGCTTCGTGCATACCTTTGGCATCGGTTGTAGCTAGCCACAAAATATGTCAGTTTTTTTTTCCATTTTACGCGCTAACTTATTCGATCAATCAAAATATTAAAAACTGCTAGTGTTTGCAAAATTTTTCATTACAATTTACTACAATTCTCTCAATTCAATGCAACTTTTATATAATGTACGACTGATGTTCCCATTCAAGCCGTCATTAAAATTTATCCCGGAACAAACCTGTACTATCTACCGAGTGAACAAGAAAACAACGCCATGCTTGTTTGTCTCGAATAACTCCGCACTTTTACTGACAGATCACGTGACCTGATGAACTCGTGATTAACAACATTACATCCCTCCTCTTCTTGGGATGAAGACTAAAAATTGCTCCGAGTCTCAATTTAAGAAAACGTTTTCTCATTTGACGAGAAAATTTAAAACAAATCATAGGACAAGAACTCTTTTTTCTGTGATTTAAATAGGCAGTTTGAATTTACGAGAACAAAATCTTATTCTCTGATTTGTTTAATTTTTTTTCTTAAAATAAGAAATCTCGAATTTAGAGTGTAATAGTTTTGGGACGGCCGCGGTTTCGTTGAAATTGTAACTGTTTTCCCAGGAAGCACCACAGTATCTCAGACTTTAGCGAATTTTCTTTTAAACCTAAATCAAAATGATCAGTAAAAAGAATAGTGTCCTTAATTTTTACCCAAGAATTTTATAAAAATACATAAACAGACCAGAATCTTACTTTTCCATTTAGAAAACATAAAATATTAATTTCGACGGCGCTGCCCATGGCGCGAAAACTTACTTTCATATTACTGACAACAAGCGGGTGTTTTTTTTTTTCGCACGCTCAGGAGGTCAAAGGATGTGTTTTTCTTGAAAAAAATATTCAAAAAATTCTGCTTGACTTGTTTAGAAACTAATTTCTTTGATTTTTAATAATTAACTAACAGCTTACTGAGTTATTAATTTGGGCGACCAACTCGGAGGCACAGACACCCCAGCTAAAATGTTTGGGAGACCGAAGTGCTCCCTGAAAAGTTTATTTGGGCGACCATCTACCGGATCTTTAAGGCCTGGGCATCCCAGCGAAAATGCTTTTGGAGCCCGAAGGGCCTTATGAAATTTTCCCTAGAGAACACTACTTCGCACCACTGTAGTCATTGGAAGTACGATACATTACATGCTATTGTTGAATGTGGAAGTGCATTTTTTGAGGACATCAGTAGAGGGAACGCAAATTTTAGTGAACTACCCCATACTCTTAATACAGGTGGTAATATTAATATAAGTTTTGTTTTGAGTAGCAAAGGAACCCTTGTGTGTAACTCATCTTCTAGTGTATTAGTCCTTAACAGAACATCTCCGTCTCTGTTGTTGATACGCTACTCAACTTTCCATTGCCATTTTCCAACATACCGGTAATTCTTACTTACACCAAGACATCCCGCGTAAACGCCTTCGGGCATCTTCTTGTTTGAACATTTCTTTGTCTTCATTGCACGACTACGACTTGAAACTTCCAGATTTCACGTTATATCGGGATGTGAACATAAGACAATGATATTCTTTTTCTTGTTCTAAACTGCGATACAGCCCTTTAGAACCCAACCACCGAAAAATTCACCAACATTTGACAAATTGAGCGAGATGGAACAAGAGCGATGATGTTTGAAACAACGCTAATGCACTTAGTTTTTAAGTGGGGTTTTCGCCGCCGTCGCCTATTAGACACAACGTCGACCCTTTCTCACGGATTCAAAAAGCCAAGGTGTGGACCATTGTCCTGAATACTTCCGGCAATTAACCCTGTCTAGCTCACTTTAAGATGGGCAAATCATTATCAGTTTTCCAGTCCTTATCATCTCTGATCCTTGTCACTCGTGGGAACCTGTTGATATTCCATCAGCTGTGTGAGTTGTTGATTTACTGAACTCTGCTCCTGTTATCTCCCATACTGGGGCTTTCTACGGCAAAAAATTCAAGTCATAATCTACTTTTCTGCCTGACGTGAGAGCTTTTTAGCGCCGAGCTGTGCTGTGAACCACTGGCGACCTCGTTACTCGCGGTATAAAAGGATCTAAAAAAACATGGTACTTTACTGCAACAGACCGAGCGTTGCAAATTTTTAAAGTTAAATTTAGTCGTGTGACTGATGCCAGATTAATTTAAGCTTTTCACCTGACGGGTGTACGTGTTTCAAGTTCAGTTCAAAGTCAATTCGCTACGTCTTATCGGCCCTTTCGCCCCATGTAACAGAATCCAAGAGAGTCTTTTGGATTCTGGATTCTGGATTCCACACAGTGGATTCCGGATTTCAGGTACGGGATTCCTGATTCTTTGTCAGTGGGACTTGGATTCCGGTTTCAATCGTGAGATTCCCTATTCCGCATTCCAAAACCCAGGGCCGAGTTGTTCGGAGGCCGATTAGCGCTTAACCTAGGGTTAAATTTAACCCTGGTTTCTTTTTCTTGTGCTCAAAAGCATTTTCTCGGATAATTTTCTCTGATATTTTTACAGCGTCCAATCATCAACCTGTTGACAAAAAGAATGAAAACTGAAATGCTTTTTAAGCTGCCAAATCTGAATTTAAATCTCGCAGTAACCCTGGGTCATCTTAACCCAGCTTTGAACAACTCGGCCCAGGATTCCACGGCAAAAATTTGCTCATTTCCATATTCCATAAGCTTCTGTATTCCGGAATCCCTTACATAAGGCAAACTCTACTCAAACTCGAAACTGTTATGCCTCACCTCAGACACAAGAGACTTTCTTTATAAACTTTATAGTAGTTGATTATTATTAGCAATTAAGCTTGTACCTTTGGATCTACAATAACGAAGTCAGGAACTAAACTGCGATGAACATTCAGCCATGATCAGATGATGGAACCTTGGAGAGGAAATTCCATACTGATGACGAGTCACTACCTTGATCTGGGTAATGTTTCTGATTATTTGAAGCAAACTTTCCACGCAGCACAACCAATCAGAAGCACTATCCAGAGCTGGGCAATGACTAGTCATCAGTATGGAATTTCTGCGCCCGTTTCTCAGGCGTTATTTCGCGGGAAAAGCAGTGGCGTCGCAAAATGTCGGCTGTTTTCTCAGGCTAAGATACGTTTCCTCTCCCTTTCGTCATTTTTCCCTTTTCCTTTTCTGTTTTGCTCCTGCCACGCAGACCACACTTGAGTACGGCTTGCAAAACGTGCGACGCGTTCCCAGCAATTTTTATGGTAAACGTCTGTTGAGGATTTGCACTGCTAACTTAAACGGCAATTAGTTCATTCGGTGGAACGCTGGCCTGCAGAGCTGAAGGTGGCGGGTTTTGATTCTCGGGACCAGACCAATACTCTGGGTATTAAATTAAGTGAGGAAGAAGGTATAGCCTTTGCCCTGTTGCAAACGGGGTGAACCTTCGGCTAAACCAATTAGAGAACAACGCTTTATAAAACATAGTGAAAAAATGAGGGTGATAGCAGGTATCGAAACCAGTCCATTTGCTCCGAAAGTTATGCGTTAACGCACGTACGAGAACAATAGAAATGACCTTACGGATGGATGAACGGACCTTCAGTTCATCCGTGTTAGTCCGGGACTAAGACAGGCAATAGCATAGAGCGTGACTGGCTATAAGCCACTAAGCACAAACAGTGTTCTCAATTAGTACTTGCGTGTTAAGACATTGACACCTGAATTAGGTAAAGTGGGATGATGGTCTGACTGATGGTGATAAATGTTAACAAAAAAACACACATTTTTTCTATTGATTATCCTTTAATGCATTTTCAACAAATCTTTCTATAGTTTGTTTAACATATTATTATTAACTGCACTGAAGAATCAGTTGAGAAAAAATGGTACATGAGCTTAAGGCTCAAAAATAACATTTCCAAGTATACGCTTACAACTAGCCGCTGCCAAAAAAGGTAAATAGGTATACAACAACAGCAACAAAAACATGATACTAAAACTTAATACCCACTAATTTTAATTTTGTTTAAAAACTACATTCAGCAATTAAATGAGCAGATAAATTAAAAGTTGAATGTCCTTTTAGCTGTTAATACATTCACAGCCAAGTTTTTATAATCGTTTCATTCCAGAAATGACAAACTACATGAAAGGAGAAACCTAATGTCAACTAGAAAAGGTCAACAATGACAAATACTTCACGAGATGGCATTTTTCGAAAAATGACGGTTCAGTTCTTATTTTTGATAATTCTGAATTTGAACTTTACAAGAATATTACTGACTGGTAAGATCACCCGGGGGGGGGGGGGGGGGGTACTGCCCTACATGGGCTATATAGGTATGTACCGCTGTGAAGGGAGAGGTTTTCAAGCAGTTTACTCTAGGATAGGGTATATAAATCAGAGCGTTTGGGTCTAGAATAGGGTATCATTTTTCAGGAAACTGATCAGTTGGTTCAAGATTTTATCTAGACAAGGGAAACAGCTACTCTAGGATAGGGGGGATTTGGGGAGTTTACTCTAGTATAGGGTAGCAAAATTCAGCTGAACTAGCTCTGGTATAGGTTAAGGGTTCCAGGGTCCCAGCGGCACATCCCTGCCCAGAAATTCCTAAAGTACCCCCCCCCCCCCGGGTAAGATCATAATATTTATATCCCGTCAAAAACCTGGATGCGGTTGTTATTCGTTTCACACACAACTATCCTTCCATCACTAAGACTTGCTGTTGACACTGGCAACTTAAACTTTCCTCTCTCACTACCTTCACTTCCAAACTTTGTAACAATCTTTCCACTCAGTTCAAATACCTGCACTCTGTGATTGTATGAATCACAGACCATTAGCAATAATTCTTTGTTAACTGACAAGTAACGGGGCTCATTGAACTCTCCATCCTTGTTTCCCTGTTTTCCAAATTTAGAAATAAACTTCCCTTTAAGATCAAACATTTTAATGGAATGGTCACCAGCATCTGAGACTATAAAATATTGACCGTGTTGGATACAGTGATAGGGACTGACCAAAGAACCTGCTCCACCAAATTTACGTAAATACTCGCCACTAGAAGAGAATATCTTGATTAATTTGTTACCTTCATCAGAAACAACAATATCACCGTTACCGTTTATTGATAAACCTTCAGGATAAAAAAGCCGGTGAACACGAACTATTTTTTCACCAAACTTACTAAGAAAGTTACCATTCCTATCAAAGATTTGCACCCTGTGGTTCCAAGAGTCTGCCACTACAATATTGCCATGACTATCAAAAGAGATCCCTGTAGGGAACCGGAACTCACCATTATTGTCACCGATTCTACCAAACGATTTTAAGTGGGTACCGTCACTACTAAACACTGAAACCCTGTGGTTACAGAACTCAGTCACAGCAATTTCATCATGATCATTTACTGCCACACCCCGAGGAGAATTAACCATTCCAACAGACTCACCTTTTTGTCCAAATGACAGCACAGATCTGAAGCGCCTGGTTTGTACCTGAGCCTCAAGAGGACTGTCACAAACATTTGCCCCTTTATCCCCAGCAATTACTTTACAACTTTCTTTACCTCTAGTTCCTGACTGTTGCGCTTTAGTTTCGCTAAAAACAAATTCTACATTACCTATCCCCTCGCTCATGCTCAGAAGGTTAATCAGTTTTTCACTTTTAGTGAAACTAAACCGAGGAATATATTCAATGTCACGGTTTTCTTGGGTGCTCTGTTCCTGTAGGATTGAATAATATGTTTCACTGAATCCCAGGATTTCAGTATTAAAGCTTCGTTTCAACAGAGTTTCAGTTTCTTCAATTGCTGATTTAATTAATTTCACTTGATTTTCAACTTTGTCTTTTTTCTGTGACAGAGATTCCAGTGATTTTTTCGCTTGGTTATCAATCTCATCAAAAACATCTTGTTTTCTCGCTTCGATGATTGCAATAATTTGGTCTACAAAAGACTGCACTTGGCTTTTTACCTCGGCTAATTTCGATTGAAATGCGATGCTTCTTTGGTCGAATTGTTCGACTTCCTTTTGTTTTTCCAGTACTTTGTCTTTCAAAGATCGAATCATGGAGTTGATCTGTGTCTTGCGCCCATCAGTAGCTTCCTGCAAGGGCATCTTACCATGACCTTCATGAAGTGTTACAGCACAAGTGCTACAAATGACGACTTTACAGTCCTTGCAAAAGAGCTCCAATTCTTTGTTTTCATGGTGTTTCTTCTGACAAAATGCTGGTCGCTCTAAAACAGCCTTGATGTCTTGATCTTGAAAATCTTTTAGAGCTAGCTTTCTGTGTTCGTTGTTAGCACGCATTATATTATGTCATGTCCTAAAATGCATTTCTGGCACCAGAAGGAACAACACTGGAAGCAATACGAGCTCTGAGAACTCCGTTTATCGCAGTTTCCACACTTCACGTTAGCTGTACTACACTCTTTTATTGCCAAGACATCTAGCAGGCTGTTTATTCGAAAATTGGTGGGAAGTTCGCTGGGATTTCCACTTCCAGAAATCTGAAACTGTCTCCGGCACTCGGGGCATGTAATTTTGCCACGGACGCCGCTCGTTCGTTGAATTCCGTTCAGGCAATGAAGACAGAAACTGTGCAAACAAGGCAACTGCTTTGGATCAGTGAATGTACACATACACACAGAACAGGATACTTCATCATGAAGATTGTCCAGCAAGGTCTTTATATCCATGGAATGATCGGAAATAAGGTTAGTTTTGAAAAATTGATGCCTTTAGCTTTTTAACTGTCGACGATCAAGGAAATGGCTTTGGGAATGAACAATGAAGTCTTGTCTTGTGACACAAAATACACTCTGCATTATTAACCAATCAAATGGAGTTCTTTGACATGTTTTGATGGTTTTGGCGTAAATCTGTCTACCACAGGTAGCCAGAGCTCACTATGAGAGCCCTGAACGTTTCGCTTAAGGTCACTCGACCCAGTTTTTTTTGGGGGGGTACCATCCTACTTTGAAGCTCTCTGGTATCCCCACCTTTACTTTTATCGTAAGTCTAACACATAGAATGGATAACATATAGATCAATCTGCAATATAACATAAAATTTTTGGCGATCGGAGTAAATGTCACGTGGTTATAATGCCACGCCCCTTTGAGGTCTTAGTCGAAAATCTGCTGTTGCCGGCATTTTTTCGTGAAAATCTCTCGGCTACACATAGTGCGCATTAGTGCCTTGCGCTGAACAGCGTTTCACCAAAATCGCAAAGACCCAATTCGAGAAATTCAGCGGTTTCCAAATTTAGGTCATAATTTGTGCGAAAATGATAAGCAAACTTTACACGGATTATATCTAATAAACTATGAGATTCATCTCTTTATTTTGGGCATCGCTATAAAAGATGGGTCCCTGCAAGTCAGCAAAACAATTTAGGGCCTTGTAAATTGCGCGCGATTTCGAGCAAAGCAAAGAAATAGAGATTATAGTTTTCGCTATTTGTTGACGTTTGTCGGCGTTTAAGAGTCCTTCTCACGAAAAAAGCATTTTCTTAAAAATTCGTAGTTTTTTTCCATTCAAATTTTTTCAGGGCCACAATTGATTAACTAACTACCCGGACTCTGAGTTTCATGGTCATTGAAAAACTGTCACATTATCTTCTATAAGCCCAAACTTGAGTAAACATTGAAGATTTTTAGCGTTTTGCCTGAGTTTGTGCTTTGGGAGTTGTCTATTGTTTCTAGTATGTCATTATACATCATTCTTGTTCAGCACGCGTGCAATGACCGCGCTTGGCTGGCTTCCGAATGCTCACCGAGATATGATAATTTTGCTACAGTGTGACAGGCCATCGCGTGATACATAGAGGTTTAACCATAGGCGTACGGGCCGGGGGGGCGAGGGGGGCTGCAGCCCCCCCAAAGTTTGGGCAACTCAGATTTTTTGGGCAGCGAGAGGAAATTTGGGCAAAGCCAGTTTTTAAAGGAAGTCTCCATGTTCATTTAATTATTTTAAAGAGCTGAATATTAACCTGAAGTAGGCGTAATAATCCAGTTACATTACAGTGGTTGCTTAGCATGTGATGAGTAATTTACACATTTGCAGTTTTTTTTTATGGGCACTATACTGCACTGCACTAGCTGGAATGGGCTATTTCCAGTCGAGAATTGATTAAAATAAACTTTCGCATAACTTTCTAGAATCATCTCCACTCGAAGAAGAGTGTATGGCAGATAGCATTTAGCAATGGGTATTGCCTGCCTTGCCTGCATAGCAAGCGTTTCCGCGCGATTTCGACTGAAAACTGTATGAACATGAAGAAGTGGCTGACTAATTCTCAGTTTGAATTACGAGAAGAATCTTAATTCTTTTAAAAAATCTATCGAGCGGTTTAAAATTATCCGCTGATTTGTTAAAGTAGACCGAGATGTTTACAAAACCGCTAACAAGAGTGTCCCGATACATACTAATCAAATCCTTCTTTCGATTCTAGCAATCAAGCAGAGCTACCTCCACGATCTTTCACACAAGTTTTTAAAACGATTAAAGCTACTATGAGGTGAAATTGCAGGACAAAAGCACTTCATTTTCTACAGATAATGGCCAAAAATCAAGATTTTCTTTTCCTTACCGTATTTCTAATAATAAAAAATCATTGCAAAATATCTCGATAACGCTCTTAAGGTTTTGCTTAAACTTCACGAACATCGAGGCGACCGTATTGGAGAAAAAAGCTCCTGTGAACGATTTTGTAAGGTTCCCGTACCGAGAAAAAATAGGTAATGGAGTCATTTCGTTGCTACGACAACTCCGATGTCACTGCAACCCTGATAATGCCAAATTTTCATCTTAATACCACTGTGGTCGCAGTTTTTCCAAATGTTTGCTTATGGCGACGTAGTTTATGCTCAGACTTGGTATTGATCCTGAAAACCTGTATCGAGCCACCTTCGAATGCCAGGACGGCCTATGTTGTTGCAATATGGCCCTCATTTCTTTTCGACTCTTTCGTAAAAATTTGGGCAACTTAGGAGATTTTTTTGGGCAAATGGTTTACCGCCCCCCCTGGCAAAAAATTTCCCGTACGCCTATGGGTTTAACTCACAATTTTTAATCAGTTCTCGTGCTTCTTGTGCCTTTGCAAAAAAATCAAGAAGTGCTACACACTAAATCTACTTACTATTAAAAAAAACATCATTTTTTCATAGGTTTAAGGCAAGCCAATAATTAAACCTACTCGTGAAGGGAATATCTCGGTGAGCATTCGGAAGTCAGCCAAGCGTGGTCATTGCACGCGTGCTGAACAAGAATGCTGTACAATAATGACAGACCAGAAGCAATAGACAACTCTAGAAGATAATGTCACAGTTTTGTGCTTGGTATTCCTATAAGAATAACAATAATCGAAAAAAAATAGAAAGCCCTCCCATCGTGCCCCGCGCGCTCTCTTTTTCTTTCTCCTTTGCCTCCCCACGACACAGAGAAGGAGAGAGGAGAAATACAGTGAAACCTCTATCAAGCTATCATCTGCTGCACAGCCGTTTTTAGTGTCGTCACGCAACGCCCCTCGGGAGGAGCGTTGCGTGACGACTCAAAAACGGCTGTGTAGCAGACTACTATCAAGCGGACACCTTCGAGACCTTCCCAAGTGTTCGCTTAATAGGGGGGACCCACTTAATAGAGGGTTGTAAAGAATGCGCAATGTTTGTTAACGATCAACATTCAACGGTTACTCTATACTGTGATACAGTTGCATGTTGTTAAAGAAGCTATGCAGAGTTCAAGTTCATTACCTTTCATTACCGACTGAATTTATTTGTAAATGCAAAAACATTAACTGACTTCAGCACGTATTTCAAGGACGTAATCCAAAATAGAGGGGTCCGCTGAATAGGGGTTCGTTATAAAGGGAAATGATATCAGACGTTAATTTCGGGACCCGGCTTAGTGTCTTAGTGTCTAATGAAAAATAAATCTGAGCCTGTTTCTCGATAGTCCTGGTGACGGAAGGCCAAAGTTTAGTAGTCTTTCAAATTATACAATGAAACTAACAATTAAAGAAACCAAATTTGACTTGTTTGTGAGCTAGGAACCGTGCTACTATTGGACAGGTTTGATTTTAAAGTTTGCCTTCGTGCCCGAAAAGTTACCAGAACTTACGAGAAACGGGCTCCAACAGAGAAAAATAAATAAATGCTTTTTCTCTTACCCTTTATGAATTTCCCGCCGACTTTTCCCAAATTTTTCCACGCAGAAGACAGCGAAGTAAATCCTTGAACTCATAAAAAGAGTTTTTCGTTCGTGAGCTGAGAGTAATCAGGGGCACCCAACGACAATTTTCGGAAAATATCTGTTCGGAAGACGATTTGAGATCTAGAATTTTCGGAACATTTGTTGTAAAATTTCTTGCTTGCCTGCCTCTCCTAGGATTTTCGAACATCTAAAAACTGACATAATTGCCCATTTTTAACGGATTTTTACCCGTTAAAAGGTCACCTTGAATTTTCGGGAGCCTTTCTTCTAGCTGAAATTTTCGAAAAGGTAAGTTTTGATCCCTATAATTTTCGGATCACTAGACTTTCAGCTAGGAAATCCGAACAGATGAAAAATTTTCAGGGGATAAAAATATGCCTATATCTACCGTTTAAATACTAAAATACGTTTAACAATGCTTTGTTCATAAGTGGTTTTGAACTATATTCTCGTTGGCTGCCCCTGGGTAATGAAACATAAGTCCGAAAAATGAAAGAGAACAGCCTCCTCTACAAGCCCAATGTTACATTAGAGATCGAGAATTGTAAAGACAGCTTACAAAATGAAATAATAAAACAAAGAAAAGAAGTCGACAACAGGAAGGCGAAATTTGGGTTTCATGGTGATCTTCTTGAACTTTTCAAATACCTTAGGATCAACCGGTTGTCACCAGGTCGGTAACAGAGGGATATCATTTTCTATTCTTCTCTCGCTGCGTCTTTTTACTATTTGTGATTTTTCTTTTTTTTCGCTGTTTTACGTTGAAACTTCCTTTGTCATTCTTCTCAAAATAAAGACTTTAGTAAGTCTTGCCAGCGAGACTTTTTGTGTTGCCATGATTGTGGGTGTGACGATGCTTTTCAGGGTTTTTAAAAACTATGAGAAAGGAATAATTATAGCGATTAATGAGAGACTCGGAAATGGTCTAGAGTAGAGAGAAAGCGGGGGACTGCCTCAAATTATCACAGATAAAGCAAATTCGCTATGGTATGGCTAGGATACTTTGGAGTTCTGGTAAGTGAGTAACTGATTCAGTTTAGTCCATGATAGCCAAGAAGATGATGTAGGATATGTTCTCCAATGTGCACGTAAGA